GGCTTTGTCTCTGACTGTAGAAAGAGAAATCTAGGACCATACTGAAAGGAAACAAATACATGCCAATTTGTTTGTTTCCTTCCCACTTTCATCAGCGAATTGAAATTGGTTGGCCAATAAAATCTTACTTATTTTCTCCTATCTCTGCCTCATTTCATCCTCACTCACTGGCATTGTCTTCTGACATTTCAGAGCAGGGATATTTAAATCTCTAAGAAACATCATCATTGCTTTTTTTAAAAAAATTGCATAATCAGACTTTCTTAGGTGTGTAAAACTTTATTTAACAAGTTTTTATTCTTTGTTTCTTTACTTCTACTTATCAAGCTATCCTGGTAAACTCCCTTCAGAAAAAGTCAGTTCTTATCCTTGAGCCGTCTATCTTTCTGTATGTCCCTGAATTAGTCTGATGTAACAGGGAACCAGAATACATATCAAGTCAAACTTTCTAGAAAATAAATGCAGTATCTCTTCATCTGAATTTGGAAAGCTAAAACTTTTATTTGTTATAGTATAAAATATGTTACAAAGTGGTGCACTGAATTCCAGTCATGTACTCAGAAGCAACAACAATGAACAAAGTATCTAGAGATCCACCCACCTTGGATGACCCTACCACACCTAAATCTAGTCTCTTGTTCTAGGGACAAGATGAGTGGTGAAGAAAAATAAATGCTGAAACTCCTTTCACAGTTTCCAGCTAGAAATAGATCAGGACAAAAGTCCTTCACCAGACAGATTAGCTCTTACTTCTGCATTCATCAAGTCCATGGATATAATTCAGGCATGTACATTGGTGCATAGGATCTACGCTTACACTTTGACCTGAATAAGCAGGAACATTTCCTCCTAAAGTAAAATCAACTTGGGATAAAACTGTAAGACTATTTTTAATGGGTTTCTTGTTTATTAATTCTATAAGATACTTTCCAATGAAAATAAATATTTAAATCAATTTTTTAAAAAGTTAAAACAACTCCACTATTAGTTTACACGTGGATATTTTAACAATTCAGTCTAAAAATCTTGAAATGCCCATCATGGCTTTCTTAGATGCCAAAAAAGCTTTTGATATGGTACAGCTTAAATTTTAGGACCATGTTCTGAAAAAAATATTTTAATTTTTTATTTCTTGGATTAAAATCTGTTGTATTAGTGCATCTGCTTGAATTCTTACAAACGGGACTTTCCCCCCACCAACTAAGATGTACCCTGGGACTCATCAAGGACGTACTTTTATCTCCTGGATGATATTTTGGGCCTTATTAAAAAGTAGCCTCTTTACCTAATTTTGTGAATATTGTGTAACAGTTTGGCAATTCTTCTGAATGTACAATAAATGGGAGCAAGTCTAATGTCTTGCCAATCAGTAAAAAAGGTTTTTCTGAAAGCATATCAATATAATGCAGTGAATGACTTCCTAGCAGTGCAATCCTATAAATACAGAAGTTAACTCTACAGTAGTGAATTCAGAAGACCTTTCTCCAAATGAGAGTGTTTAGCAAGATCATAAGTTCTAGCAGCACAAAAGGCTATATGCAGCATGAAGGCCATATTCCAAGAGAAGAGTATGAGTCAGAACCCAAAGTTAGTCTTATTTTGGGGGACAAAATCACAATGTCCTCCAGAACTTCATGAAAATCCTGAATTTTTGGCCCCTTCCATTCTGAGGGACCTAGTGTGGCAAAAAGGTGTTGGTGAGCCACATGCTACCAATGGGCTGCACATTTTGCACTTTGCTCCTTTCAAGACCACTATATAAACAATTTTGTTTTACATCCACTGTAACTCTAAAGAGAAGAGGAGGATGGAGGCCAGGTTGATTTCTCTGCATTGATTTTCCCAAACTTTGACAACACCCTGGGGGAAAAAATCCTGGCCTCTCTCTGGGTTCTGAAACTTATCCAAAACCATCCCATCTCATATCTTGGCTTCTGGAAGTGTGGCCTGAGTTGATAGTGGTTACAGTCCAACATATGCAGAGGTACCAGGCCAATGCAGGGCACAGCAATTTGTTCTGGAAATTACACCTGCCTGAAGAAGATGGGCAGATGTGTCTGCAAGCAACAGATCAGCAAGTGCTCCAACCAAAGTTGATAAAAGCACTTGGATTCGTGGATGCCATTCAAAAATCTTGGAACAAACCCAGAGCCAAAGCCAACAGCACTCCCCTTCCCTCCAAAGTGCCATGTGGCTCTCTAGGTGTGGTGGGATTCCTAACGTCCCTCTTTGCCACCAAGTATGCTCAACAGACAAAGATTACTGTATGGGGATCGTAGACCAGCATCTGGGAAGCTACACGTTTCCAATGTCTGCTTAAAGAAGCACATGTTTCTTCTAAAGCAGATCCAATAGTATTATCAACCACAGAGTTATGGCCAATCTACCTCTCAGTATCAAAACCAGGCAGAAAACAGGATTAGCTGCTTTTCCTCACTGAAGATCCAGGAGGGGGCTACACCCTGTCTGCCCCAAAGGATGATTTGGAAATGCTTATCCTCATGCTGAGAAAAACATCAGCAGTGGATTTCTGCTGGTAAAATGAGACTGGGATCTTCCTCTTGGTTCCCTGGCAAATAAGATAGGGAGGAGGAGTGCAAGAGAGACTCCAACCCCTGTACATCCAGAAGTAATTTTGCTAGTTGTGAAAAAAATCACTATCATCTATCAGGCCATAAATGCTCGGAATACTGTATGAATTGTCTTCCTGGGTTCTGCAAGGAAGAACCAATTGTCACAAAGCAAAACTCTTTGTGTTGAGAAGGTTCTTGACAAATGTCCATCAGTGGTAGAGGGTACCCAGAAGGCAAGACGGGGTGTTGTAAGTGAGGGATGCACATGCTCCCACCACTGAGGATCAGCACACCCCCTATCAGAAGCAATAAATGCTTGCCTTCCATGCAGTCTGTCCCACTTGGAACTGCAACATTGAATGCACTTGCATCAGTTGAGTTTCTGCCTGTCACAAGGCATTTGAAGACAGAGCCTCTATCAGAGGAAAAAGGAGCCACACCTCATGAATCATCAAAGGGGGTAGTATTCCATTAGTTTCTGGAGATTTGCCAGATTCCACATAGAGAAAGAAATTGACCGCTATTTGGACAACTCTCTCCCCCCCCCCCCACTTAATTTCTGAGGACTGTAATCACATATAAGTGGCAAGAGAGAGAGAGAGAGAGAGAGAGAGAGAGAATTTGAGGTAGTCATGAAGCAGCCAGGGTAAAAAGGATTCAAGTACAGTCAGGTTAGCAGAAAGGGATTAAAATACCTTTTGCATGGAGGCTCAAAGACTTATCATAGATTAGGGTGCATCCTAGTGGCAGAAGTAAGGCGATGCAGGCAGTTCTGCCAAGGCTGCCAAAAGAGGGCTGGAATCTAACTTGAGGAGGAAGAGGGGAGAGTTCTGCTTGTGGATCTCAAACAAACAAAAAGACTCTCAATCGCACACACACATCCCATTTTCCTTTAAATGATTGATCGCCGCCTTCCAGATTTTAGGCAAAAGGCAAAACTATAGCAGGGCTGGGCTATACTGTGCTTAGAGAGAGAAAGGAAGACTGAAAGGAGAGAAAAGGGATTGTACTTTTTCTAAACAGCAATTGAACGAACGTTAGGGTTCTGGGAAGGCAGCTAGTACTCCTCACCCTTTCCATGAATATGAAGAGATGAGAAGATTGTTCTATCAGATGCCAAACGATGCCCCAAACATTGTCTTAGCATTTAGAATTGCAGAGGTCAAGCTTTTATTTTCCAAGTTGTGGAATGCTTTTGAAGGTTTTTCAGTGAGAAAGGTGGAAGAAGAAAGGAAACCTTTGTGGTATGTGCCTCACCAGTCAGAATCGCCTTGTTACACACTGTAACTCATTCCCCACCCCACAGGGTTCCCTTCTGTGGATCCTTCCCCCACACGCCCACTTCTCTGCCCCCTGCTTTCAATTTAAGTCACTTATGATTAAGGAGTAGGAGGCTATTCTGTGTCTATCTCTGCCTATCTCATACACCCAAACACAGAGTGACCCAGGGGCTCAGCCTTACAAGAACAGAGAGGGCATCAATGAAATCCACCAGACAGGCCATCATCTCGTAGGGCAATATCGTGCCACACATAGACACACCCTTCACATCACATCAAAACCCATGAAGCCAGAGCTGATTCTAGAGGAGGTGTAGACTTGATCCTGCAAGGAACCCCTCAGCTTACAATGCATCCCTGCCTGAGTCTGCAAATCCATGCTGGTCTTGGGAATATTCTTGGGCTAGAGATGTAGGGATGACAAGGTCGTGGTAGCTACATCAAGGTTACATTCTCGTAGTGAGCATTGCCAGCTGACCACACAAAATTATGGTTGGCTTGCTTCTATGCCTGTTACCACCTCTTGACCTAAGAAACACCACTGGTAAAGCTTTTCACAGCATGGAGATGAGCACTATCAACTCCTGCACATTATGGCTATTAAAAAGCACAGAAGCAGACCTGTGCCTAGCAAAAAAAAGTTGGCAACTTGATATGCTCTTCCATCCCCGCACGTGCTTACTCTGAATAAAATCCCAATGAGTCCAATGGAATTTGTTCCAAAGTGAGGGGACACATGTTTACAATTTGGGGCACTGAGAATAAATATGACACCAATTGAGCCCAAACCTCTGAGTGTTTTGAAATTTTCCCTGGAGTTTGAAGGGGAAAAAAAAAAAAGCTTGATTTCTTCTTGCACAGTATAAAGGTGGCAATTGGATGCCTTTGGATGGTGTGTGTTGGAAGCCTAGAAGTCAAAAGCTGCACCGTCACCCCACCCCACTCCCTCCCCTCCCTACACACACACACAGACACACACACACACACACTTGGAGTGTGCACTGAGCTTGCCCTGGTTCCTGGCACCAATTCAGGCTGAGGTGTCATTGGGATCTCAGATTGCAGCAAGGGTCTGGCAGGCAGCCAGGGGCAGTCTATTTAAAAGACATGCCTGCTCGGCACTATTCAGTCTCTTTAGAAACTTCTCCAGGGGGAAAGTGTTGGGAGATCTACAAAGTGGAATTCTTTTCTTTTTCTCTTTTCCTCCTTTGCTCTCTTTGTCAAAGAGACTTTGTAAAAACCCTTCAACAGAAAACCTCTTTGTTGTTTTTAACCCAATCTAGGAAAAGGAGGTTTTTAAAAAATTGCAGCCAGTCCCAAGCTAAATCTCTTCTTGACAAAGCCCAGCTTTACCTGCTTTAGTGCTACTCCAGACATTTTTTAATTTGCTGCAGATCATATCAGGACAGTCGAAAAGAAGCTTGTTCAATTCTTTGCTTCCTCCCCAGCCTCTTGCAGACTTTGCTTTTTAGTGGGGTGTGTGGATTATTTTATACTTCTTTGTGCAGCCTCACCAAAGCTATTCTTACTCTTCAATTTTTTTTTTTTAACCCCTTTTCTGGTTACTTTTTTTTTCCTTTTTGAATTACCAACCTGTTGCATCTGTAGTTCTTGCAACTGTCAGCTGCAGACAACCTGTGATAAAATTGCTTTTATGTAAATATAGGTATTCTTCTTAAACATTCTGACTGAGCTCTTTTGGAATCTAAAGGAGGAGAGATTTTTTCTCCAAAAAGAACTTTGTTTTTTTCCTTTAATAAATCCTGCAACGGTGTGCCTGGCAGAGCCTTGAAGATGTTCCTGACGCAGGCGCTGTTCCTGTCCCTGTGCCTGGGGCTTTCGCAGGGCTTGGGCTCCTTCGTGCACTGTGAACCCTGTGACGAGAAAGCCCTCTCCATGTGCCCTCCCAGCCCTGTGGGCTGCGAGCTGGTGAAGGAGCCCGGGTGCGGATGCTGCATGACATGCGCCCTGGCTGAAGGGCAGTCCTGTGGGGTGTACACAGAGCGATGTGCCCAAGGCTTGCGCTGCCTGCCGCGCCAAGGCGAGGAGAAGCCCTTACACGCCCTGCTCCATGGCAGAGGGGTCTGCCTCAATGAAAAGAGTTACAGAGAGCAAGCTAAGAACGGTGAGTCCTGCTCTGGGCCTTGGCTCAGCTTCCTTTCTTTATTTTGTTCTGCTTGCTGGGGAGAGGGCTTCCCCGTCTGTTTGTTGTCTGCCATGCACCGAGCATCCTCTGAACATCTTTCTTTGCCTCCTTCAAGCACGGTTTAGGCGTCATCAGGTCATTTTTCTAATCCGATTATGCTCAGATCTTGTGCCTCGCTGACATTCTCCTCCCTTCCCACTTTTCTTTTGCAGCACCAGTTCTCTTAAATGGGCTTTCTTGGGAGCGCTCTTCCCATTCCCCAGCTGAGTCTTCAAGTGCATTCTTATCTTGCATAACTTCTGTTACCCTGACTAGACCCCAGGTTCTCCCTCTGATGAATTTCCCTTACTACTGACGGCATTTCAGACATCATACCTCCTTCAATCTATGTTCTCTTTGCAGCTCAACCCAAGCATCTTCACCCTTTGGTTGGAGATGACAGGACTTTAGGGCAGATCACTCGGGCCACTCAGCAGAATGAGTAGGATGTCCCTGGGAAAGTAGTGCTAGCATGCCCTGTTTTGAAGTAAATGCGTATTGCCATCTAAAGGAAAGGAGGCATAAGATTAAGTCCCCAATTCTACAGATAACTGCCTTTGGTACTTACCCCTGGATCGCCATCACCATTACCCTGCCCCGATAGTGCCAGGCTTAGCAGCAGTCTATCTTCTTAGGCCTTTGTGATTCAATATGGCACCCTTTGCATCAATGTGGCAGAATTACACTGATATCCAGTTGAGTCCCATTTGATTTGACTTTTCATATCTGTACATGCAGCCCCAGCCCATCCTCAGATTGAGTCTCTCTCTGACTGCCTCTGTAGGTCATTGCAGGGGAAGACAGGGTGGCATCAAAATGAACAGGTGCAACAGAGTAATGAAAAAGAGTTGGAAAGGAAAAAAAATAGTTTTGAAAAGAAAACCTTGATCAGCATTCCTTCCTAGGACGAAACCCTCAAATCCATTCCTGAGACTACTTTTTCCTGGCTTATTAGCACCATTTCCTCTTCTTCCTCTCTCCATACCAAAATGCCAGAGAGTTTCATTCTTTTCTTCTTCCCCCCGCCCTCAAAAAAGCCACTCTTTTATCAGCTCTCCCCTTCTGCAAAATCCAGCATCCACTGAAGGCTTGTTGCATCTAAGCAGTGAAGAACTGCAGCTATAAGCTTCTTCCTAACCCTCAATAAATCTTGTTTCATTCATTGTCCCCCCCACCCCCACCCTCCCCGCTTCTCTTCTTTGAAAGCATTGGCTCAATTTGGTTGTCATTTCGTTTGGCAGAGCAAAAGTTAAAGGGGAAAAAAAAAATCAACAAATTTGCCAAACTTCAATTGCTGCTTTTTGGAAGAAGTTAAAGCTAGAGACTTTGGTGAAACTAGTCTTAGGGAGGGGGAGGAAGAGAGGAGGGAAGGAGCTTTAATTTGATTTTCTGTCTTGGAACTCAGAAAACTATGTAAAGAACTGCTCATGCTACAGCTAAGTAGAATATCCTCCTTGTACTCATTTGCAGTACTTTAGATTGTGAGTACATGTATGTGTGTCTGCAAGCATGCTAGCCAGGAACACAAGCAAAAAAGCTACCTACAGGGACACAGCATGTCGAGCAATTCACCCTCCGCTGTTCAGAGTTACAACAGTGCCCCTTACAGACTGCTGAAACCTGCAGCATTTTGAATTTGGATTTAATCTGAACACACCCTCGCACTTTGTCTATCTGCCCCCTTCTCACCCTCCATTCCCCCTCACATTTCCTGATCCCAGCTGGGCAGCAGGTGCTTCCAAGCAGTGGGTGTCAGCCTCTCAAATCTCAGAGTGGCCACAAGCTTGGGAAGACCAAAGAGTGATTAAGCAAAACATGGCACCTCCCTCACTTGCCTGTTGCTGTTGAAAGAGCTTTTCAAAACAGTTTCCTCCGTGGAGGTAAAATCAAAGTCAACCTTGGCCGAAACGGAGTCCAAAGGCTAAGTGACCGTCTCCAAGGAAGTGTGACAGGTGGGCCTGATCCAGTCCACAGGCTGCTAGAAGGTTTATACATTACGCTACGCCATCTAATTCAGGGGGTGGTGTGGCTTAATGTATTGTGTCAACCCAACCAGGGGAACCAGGGTTGTGGCTTACTGTCTTGTAATGATCCAGCCAATTCTAGTTTATTCAGTAATTGACAAGCCATGGCTTAGCACAGGTGTTGTCAGCCAATGCATCTGGATCACTCATTTTTCTTTCTGTCTTTTTTATATAAATAAAACTTCTGAAGTGTCTATCAGTTGCACTGCAGTTTAAGAAACACTGGCAAGCAGAACAAACATGGCACAAATGGCTGCTCCATTAACCTCGGCCAAATGACAATGAGTCTACGATGGAACTACAGGAGGCTTGCAGATCACTAGGCTGCTGATCTGTGGGATGCAACAACTGTTTCCGATGCCTTTTGGGCCAGAAGGCAGATCCTGATCAACCAGATTGCCCTTGGTAGTTTGCCTTATTAAAATGATGGGGAATAATTGGCATAGACTGATCCATATCCTTGCCTCTCAGGATAGATATTTAGATACCTGTCAATACCAGGTATCTCCTTGAGATACCTGACATACTGCAAGAGTTGTCATAGCATTTTAACAGGGCTGCAAAATTCTAAACAGCTCTTCCACTAGAAATATTTTGCTGTTCCATCTGCTTGCCAGTCACCTTATTCTCCATCCCAAACCTTGTCAATGAATTTCAAAATACCTTATTTTGCTTCTTAGTTAAACTTTAATCCAATAATGTTAAAGGTGGACCACCAAAGACTTCTTTCCCCAACTACAGAAGCTTGATGGGAATGGATATTTCAGCTATAATCAGATATTTATGTCTGCAATTTTTTTTTAAAAAAGCAGGATTTTTTAAGGGCAAGACTTGGGAGGGAACCTCTTAGCATCAGAACAGCAGAATATGAGAACAGTGAAGTATATTTTTTGTAGGCATGTTTCTAAGCAACTGGTGAAGGGGAAGAAATGAAGTTTGACTTGAACTTATAGGTTTGTGCCAAGGTTGGACAAGACTCCAAGGAGCGAGTCCTGGCTGTGGTTATTCATCAGAATTGGCCCAGTGCTCGATAACAATGAAAGGGTAAAAGTCAGGGCTCTGCCTGAATGGAAGTCGTGCACTTTTTTATATAACAATAAGCACTTGTTTATTGCTGATGCAAAATGGTTGTGGTGCATGACTTCCCTTTGGACAGAATATGAAATGTGGGATGAGACCACTAGAAACTTCTAAGACCCCTGTTCTTTCTCAGTGACATTAGATGCTAGGGGATGCAACCATGTGGATGTGCATCTAATCCAGGGAGACCAGTGGCAGTAAGCCTTCCATGTCCAAATATCTGAAAGATTCTCACAGAGAAGAAGTGGACTTGTTCCCTGTTGCCCCAGATAGCAGGGTTAGAACCAGGGTCCAAGCTATGAGCCCGTGAAACAGGTTGCCCCATGAAGCGATGAGTTTGCTTTTGCTGGAGGTCTTCAGACCAAGGCCAGGTGATAATCTATTAAAGGTGCTCTAGTGGATCCTGAATTGAGGTACAGGTTGGACTAGCCTCTTGTGGACTTTTTGCATAATAATGGAAAAATTAACTTGTGATTTATGGTTTTGATGATTACATAGGATAGATTATAGAAAGAAGAGTAATATGATGCAACTTTAGAGAGAGAGGTTAAAATATATTTGTACTTATAACTGCTGTGAAGAATATTAGAAGATATTTCTTTATATCTTTTTTCTTTTCTATTTTTCTTCAACTTTTTTTTCTTGCACTTTTTGCTTTTTATTTCATTTCTTTTTATTTCTTTTTCCTACTTTATATTAGTTTGTGTTAGTTTTTATCTTCTTGTTTAAAAGTTTCAATAAAAATTATATTTTTAAAACAAAGCACTAGGGCAGTGTTTCTCAACTTTGGTGACTTTAAGATGTGTGGACTTCAACTCCCAGAATCCCCCAGCCAGCATTTCCGATTCTGGGAGTTGAAGTCCACACATCTTAAAGTCACCAAGGTTGAGAAACACTGAGCTAGGGGTTGGAATAGATTATCTCTAAGGTCCCTTCCAACACTATGACCCCCACCAATTTCTCAAGTACAATCGCTGGCTAATTTTTGCCTGCCCTTAAAAAGAAACCAAGTTTTTTTTTCAACGATGTCATATATATGGTGTCAGTTCCATTCCTTTTCATATGCTCCTTTAGCTGCAAAAAAACACATGGACAAAAATACCACCCATGGATTTTTCTTCCTGGAATAGAACCATATTGCATATGTCAGTATGTTCTACATACTTCTCCATGGTGGTGGTTTTTTATATTTTTCCTGCATGTAGAAAAATAGCAGATAAAAAGGAAGGTGATGTTTTTAAAAATCCTTGCCTCTCATTCTCATGCCCTGGGAGGTTTTGGATGGGGACATTTGATTCCCTATCTGCATTTGGAAGAGATTTCTTGAACACGTTTACACCCTTTAACCCTACCTGACAGAGAAAGGCTTTCTCCCACTACCCACCTTTGCAGTTGTTCCAGAAGCAACCCCTGGTGGCTACAGGCTGCCACAGCAGCTGTACGGAAGAAATAAAATACGGTACTGTATCCTCCAGGTTATAATTGCTGTCCTGGATTTTCTTTTTTCTACTGCTTGCTTTGGCCTTGTGACTCTCTAACTTAACTTCTGAAGAGGAGAAGGACGTTAGGAGGCCAAGCCTATGTTTACATCTTTAAAGCGAGCTTCCCCACCGCCACCACCAGCACCACGAGTTATTTTCACTCTCTGCATTTTCAACTTGCTCAGCAAAGGTGGGAGAGCGATAGGTTTGTGGCAGAACAGATTACTTTCATGCCCATTATTTGCACGTGCAAGTTGTGAGGATGGCTGGGTACAGAAGAACTTGAGGTTACTTCAGTGTTGCAGAAGAGAGGGAATTCCAAGATATGTCAATTGCATGAGAGTAGCTGGTATCT